TCACATCCTATACTAGCGGTTGCCATGGGAGACAGGCTGCATCCCTCCTGGTCCTCATACTGCAGCATCCGCACGGTGCTGTCGCCATGGTGACATCCTCCAGAGAGATAGCGAGAGGGAGGGAGAGGTAAAGTGAGAGAGAGAGAGAGAGAGAGAGAGAGAGAGAGAGAGAGAGAGAGAGAGAGAGAGAGAGACACACACAAAGAAAGGTAGGGGAGAAAGAAAGAAACACGGGGGGGGGGGACAGTGACTTTGAACCTGACTACACTCCCTACATTCCCCCCCAACCCCCACCCCCCTCATTCAGTACCATGAACAACACTAACTGTGCCTCTGCCTCAAGAAGTTATAGATCCCAGTAGGGTAATGAGGAGATATGGAGAAATGTTGTGGAGGTTGGGTATTAGGAATACAATTAGGTTAAAGGATAATAGACAAAGATAAAGGCCATATTCTCTCTTCTTTCTTGTTCCCAACAAATCCCATGAAAACGGTCAGAGCCAGGAATTAAAGGTCCAGTGTGTAACATTTAGGAGGATCTATTGGCAGAAATGGAATCTAATATTCGTAACTATCTTTTCATCAGTGTATAATCACCTGAAAAGAAGAATTGTTGGAGGGGCCGCCATGTTTCTATAGCAGCCTAGAACGGACAACCCAAACAATGGCTCTTAATAGGGCATTTCCTTTTTCTTTCTCTGCAACTACACTTTAAGAATTACAAGTTTAAACCTGCAAAAATCAATATTTTCCTATGAACAGTGAATAAATGGTGATGTGTCATGGGGTCACTCATAGTGACAAATCCTTTAAATTATCACTCAAATTGTCAGTCTCCACTCAGCTCCACTGAATATTTTAGCATATTTCAGATATTTGTTTTGGTCCTATGACCCACAACTGTTTTTGTTCAGTCTCATAAGCGTTTCAGGCAGCAGCTAGGGGTTGAAATCAGGGAAAAACCTCTAATAAGCCCATTGCACACAATAGCTGCCCAGCACCAAACAGCAGGTAGACAAGGTTAGAGAGATCTGATTTAAAAAAGTGGTCTAACGTCGCTCCACATTATGGACTGCATTTGCCTATCGCAGGTTACTTTTACTTTAGTATTTGAGTGGTTGACCGATGTTTGGTAGAATCGGAGGAAACTTCCCAGCCTTTATAGAAATAGAAAACAAGGAACTTTGCTTTGCTACGTTCTCTGTGTGGCTTTGTAAAATCAGGCGTTTGTGTATTGTACACTCCTGTGATCAGCCGATGATTAACTGATTAAGTGATTCAGCCATTGTTTTCCCCAGGGAGGGAACCATCAGACGACCTACTTCTCTCTCTTTTTTTTCTCAGTCCCTGTCTGGCTCTATGTGTCTCTACCTCTGTCTTTCCTTCTCTGTCACTTTTCTCCCTTCAGTAGTTTGTCGGCACAACTGTTTATCAGAGATGATAAAAGGAAAAACAATCATGCAGTGAGATTGTTACTGCTGTTTTCAATGTCAAGAAAGAACTTTGAGCCTCAGCTTTCATGTAAAACTTCGATGAGAAGTCTGTAAAGTGCTCAGAATTTTTTTTAAATTTTAACAAATTTTTAATTCAGTGACAACTGGGCAACTCCATGTGCTGATGAAGCTCATGTTATGTGTTTGAGAGCTCTTGCACCTACTACATGGTCCTTGCAGGGAGATTGTGTTCTTTAAAGAAAGAACATTGAACAAAAGGCGTCATTTCATAAATGTATTGTGCATTCAAAGCATGATGACATGAACAATTTACATTGAACACATGAAAGGTATACAATCATCAGTTTCTGTAAACTAATTTTTGTTATTTGTTTCTTTTTAGGATTGTACGTAAATCATATGCTGTAAACCATAACTCTCGAGTGGGACAGTTTATATCCGAAATAGGAGATCAATTAATACTGGATGCTTACACGCAGCTAATAAACTACATTATGTTCCCTCAGAGGTCAGCACTGTCAAGACGAATCGCTATAAGTCAATGGTCAATATATCAATGGCGCAAATTCACTTTCACCAAAGTTGGAGCTCAATAGGAAAATATTTTCCCTGCAAGAAAATTGCAGAGATCCTATTGAAAGTTTTAAATGGTGGTGTGACCGATCCTTAACACCAGTGCTGTAATCAAGAGCACCTTTGTTGAGTCCAAGAAAAGGTCCAAGGCCAGAACCAGTCGAGACAGAGTACAAAGGTTCAAGTCCATGTCAGTACCGAGTCCAAATGAGAGAGATTGAGACAGACAAAAACAGAATGCTTTTGCCATTGCCAATGAGATTTGGCAACCAGGCATTCGATTGTAAGTGCCACCTGGTAGGTTGCCAATGTCAATGCCCATTCTGGATGGATTTTGAATTCAACCCATTTTCTGAACAAGCGCCCCTCATAAATGGTTTTGTTTTGAAGGAGGAAGTTACTTCAGAAAAAAGAAAACATATTGCTGCACTCGGTCGAGACCAACAACAATATCAGGGCCAAGTCCGAGACAATAAAAGTCCAGACTGAGTGGACAACACTGCTTAACACTAAGAACCAAGCTAACATCATCAGTACCCAGAAATAACACTGAAGTATCTGCACTAAGATAATGATGAAACTATTCCTGAGCCCCTGTGATAATGATAGAGCAGTGAACTCAAAGGAGAGGCAAGCAGGTTTTTAAATCTCATTCCTTATGTTCCCACAAACATTATGTCTAAACATTTAAAAAAAGTACCATCAGAGTATTTATAATAAGTCACGAGAGTCTTCTTATAATGAAGGCATTATAAGAAGACTATCAGCATCAGGCATACAGAGCCTGATGCTGATTTTTCCCGCCTCTGTGCCCTTCGCAGCACCATCAGTCTGCTCTGCCAGCGATTCGCCATCCTGCCCTTCTCATTATCTTTCTGTTACCTCAGGCATCAAACCACCGCTGTCCTGAGCCGTGCAACCTCTATATGCCAGCTTCCCACACACACAACAGCTTCTACACTGAAAAACAATATCATAGAGATACTCCAAAATAACCTCAAAACATCTCAACGAGTGCTTTGATTTCATAATGGATGTTTAAATCTGATTTTTTTTTTACCTACTTAAATGAAAAATATTTCAGTTTCCTCCTCCACAGCCACATATTCAGGCTTCAAATGATATTGTATTTTAGTGGAAACCTCTGTGGCCCACTTCTACTTCAATGCAGCTACAGTACACTTGCTTTGATATATATTTCACCTGGTTTATAAAATGTATGATGTTTCGACCAAGATTTGTGCAGAAGAATGTTTTTGTATCTCTACATTGTCTCACAAAAGAAAATGGAATCAGCTTATTTGCATTAGAAGAGAATGAAATCATCCCATCCTATTGGCAGTCTTTGGAAAATAAGGTAAGGAAAATGAGATAATATTAAGACCCAAGCACTTAATGAATTCTCTTGTTAAGATGCTTATTTTTGCACTTTGAGCACTATGATCTCACTCTGCCTGCAGGTTTACTTCAAAAGGTTTCAACACTGGACACCAGCTGAAATTACTCATAGAGAGCATCACTTTTTGCAGCGTCGCCCTGCGTTTGTTGGTAATTCACCGTTTCCAAAGGCGTCAGAGATCTGAGGCAGGAACTATCCAGCAGTCCAACCCCTCAAGCTGCAGGACGGACAGCCATCGGTTGGTGTGACCCGAGGACTTCACAGCTCCACACTCTGCCTGATTGGTTTTATATCTGTGGTCCTGTGACAGAGCACTGAATTTACTGAGCTGGAGGCTGTGACCTGCAAACGCTGCCAATCCAGGAGGTTTGAAACCGTGACGTGAGCTCATTTATTGTTGGTACGATTCGTTTTCTGAGCTGCTGAGTGAGACGTTTGAAGCCTACAGGCAGGGCCAAAGCCAACCCCACCCCCTTCCTTACAATCCACCAATAAAAGTCTGTACAATTTCAAAATTTTCCCACATTTTATTTTTCATTTTCTTCCTTTAAATGTTAGTCTGTAGCATCATCTTAGCACCCTACATGATGCAATTTTCGACCAAAGAAATTATAAATCACTTTCATTTTAAGCTACTGATTTATTATTGTGCCCCAAAACCATAAAATGTCAAAAAAAGATAATTATATGTCAGGATCACCCTTTAAATGACTCTCTTTGTGTAATTTATGTGTCAAACTAATCAAGACTAATCAAAACTCCCTGACAGATTGATAAAACCCCAAAGACATGAGTTTGTTTGTCCCTAATTTATAGTCCTGCATGCAGGGTTAGCTGCACCCTGTCGCATCAAAATAAACAATAAACAATAAATCCAAGCTTTTGTAAACATTCCAAACTTTTTTAATCTCTATTAAATCTCACTGAATCAACCAACAATATTTGAAACTGCACCAGGAAACTCAAGAAGTTGGCAGAATGCATCCAGATGAAATCGAATTAATTTAGGTACATTTAAATGGATTTTCTTTTTCTTTTCAAAATAAAAGTTGAAGCGAAATGGCTGAATCTCATAATCTGATTCTTGTCTTGTCCTTATCAGATTTTCACACTATTTAACAATTACCAAAAGGTACCTATGACAATAACCTTTTCTCTGATAAAAAAAAAAACCTCCTGATGCTGCTTTCTTTGCTTCCCGTGCATTCATTTTGATTTAATACCAATGGAGACCTACAGTACAACAGAGAATCTGACTTGACTCTAAATGCCACAGAAAGGATTTCTTAAATTTTACAGTGTAAATTTTAAGGAATCCTCAGACATCAGCAGTGCTTCTCAGACTTCATATTTTAGACACAAGAAAAAAGCGGCAGCAAAAACCAGAAACACAACAACTGTATTAGAATTAAACAAACAGCACCAGAGCAAATGTCCTTACTATCCGGTGACACAATTACATCTCTCCTTCCATTCACGGTTACAAAGTTCCTTTAAGACCTAAAAATCATTGACTGAAAGACCTGTCTGAATCTCCCTTTATCAGTGTATAAAATATGAAGTGCAGTTCGTACCTGCGGTGTCTGGCGTACTTCCCACTGACGTGACCGCTGCCATCACAGCCTGGGGTGGGACAGCTGAGGAGGAAACACACACAGTCAGAATATGTCAGTGATGCAAAGAGAGGACTTTTATCCAATTGAACCTGTCATTATTGTTTGGAGTTTTTTTATTTTTTTTTCGTGTCACAGTTAGTGGTTTCTCGGAACGTACTGCACATACGGATCAAGGATGGAGAAGTGGATTGAGTGATCTGAAGAATGAATGTTCACCATGACTCTGAGTCTCCACTGGAATCCAATATAACCGCTTTGACTCCAAGCTAACTTCAGCTATTGTCCTCCACAAACAAGCAAGATATAAACTGTCTTGCTAGACTTCTGGTGAACCAGAATGACAAATTCATTTCAATGAGTCAGAATTCCCAAATGGCAATGGAAATGGCAACATTTGAAAAAACACCCTTAATTTTGCAAAGAAGTTTTAAAGCTTGCTTGAAAAAAAAAGAGTTAATTTGCTTAATGGGAGATGGAAACACTTTTCAGAATTAAGATCAGCTTTTTCCGCTCTGACAGTCTCCTGATTGCTCCCATGGCTCTATAATAATCCATGATCACTCCACACAGATCTGATGTTACCTTCCTCACATTAATACATACAACAAACTGAACTGTCATATTTCCATCGGATTTTCTGTATTGTTTTTCACCGCTTGATGTTCAACTGGCATCCTTTTATTTACATCCTCTTGTTGCAACCTCTTCTTCTGGTTTTCTGGCTGGAGAACTGGAGTATAGTGAACTAATGAATAGAAGAAATCCTAACAATCGCATAACAATAGTGGCCTTTTGCCGGATTACTTGAAATTTGTTTTTAAAAAATTGCAGCCTTGATACTTGAATACATAAAATCCTCTCTCGTGGTGTTATAAACCATTGTGCAGTGTTTAGCCTTTAATATTATGGATCTATGACTCAAACCGGCTTTTCTCAATAGTTTGTCATCATCTCACCAGAACCTCAAAACCACCACCAACGCAGCCCCTTGAGTTGCCGTCTTCAGTCTGAACATCCAGTTATAACTTAGCTTACTAGCTTTGGGTTAATTAATAAGCATGAAACACGAAGCTAAGGGGTTTAGATTAGTACATAGTTAAGAAATGGAGACGAAGTGCAGGAAGGTAACAATGTGAAAATGGTGAAGATTAAGGATGAATTTTTCAACATTATTTTCGTTTGACCTTAATTTGGAGGACGCCAACTCATCTCATTCAGCTGTTTTTACTGTCAGCAGCAGGTTCAAGTGTTTCTGTCTGGATGTTTTGTTTTTTCTGTATCGTGGTTGCAGTCAGCAGCAGATTTCTACAGGGCTCTGAGTCACTCTGCTGCAGCTTTCAGGCCTCTCTGCCCTGAAAACACGCAGACCGCCAGCCAACGCATGCTGCTTGGCTTCAGGGACTCCACACCCGCGACCCTTGACCCCACACTGCAGAGCTCCACCCACCCTCCACCCATCATCACCTGATCCATACACTCTGTAACTGCAGGCCAGAGTGAGAGCTGCATGAAGATAAAGCAGGAGATTTAACATCACGAGCGCAGGGAGGCAGAGGAGGAGGAAGAAGAGGAGGAAGGAGATAAATAAGATGAGAAAGAGGAGGAAGGCAAGGAGAAGGAGGTTGAGGGAAAAGAGGATGACGACAAAGAATATAAAAGGAGGATGGGGGGGCAGAGGAGGATAAGAAATAGAAGTAGAATGAGGAAATGAGGCGGAAAAGGAAGAAGAGGATGACCACAGTGTAGTAGAAGGAGGGGGAAGAACAGGAGGAAGAGGAGAGAGAGCAAAACATGATGAGAAGGAGAGCTAGTGGAGGAAACGAGGAGGCTGAGGAGGCAGTTTGTTCAAGGTGAGGCGGTTCATCAATCAGTGTGGAAGCAGAGACCAATAGTGTTGACTTATTGATCCCATAGCTCTGTGTGTGTGTTTGTGTGTGTGTGTGTGTGTGTACACAGCCTTCAATTCCCAGATACAATGTCAAAAACGCTTTCCAATCATGGTATAATTCCCAAAATGCATCAGTGCAACCTTAACCTTAACAAGCTGTTGTGTTGAGTTTTTAAAATCCTCCGTCTCTTAAGCATACTTTTTTTTTTTCATCTGTGGTGAGAAACTTCCACTTGTTTCCAAAGCAACTGAATATTTCTTTCAGGAAGTTTCTTGACTCCGGTGCAGAGATCTGTATGTCAACATCCTTCAACTCTTCACAACATTTTATTTTAGATTTAGTATGAGACCAACTGTTTAATTCAAAAAGTGCATGACAATATATCCATCAATGTTTTATATCTCTTTATATCTCCTGTAGGGGCACCATATAGCCTATGTGCCCACAGAGCATATGATATGTTTTCATTAATTAAAGTATACTGAGACTAGCCATTATTACATGTTCTGAGTTGAAACCATGCTTCCTTATTCTGGTTTTCTGCATTTGGCATTCATTCATTCATTCATTCATTCATTCATTCATTCTGTGTCCCAAATGGTGGCCTTAACCCTTGCCGACATTCTCTGAGTTGCACTTTTAAATTTTCATGATCGATCAATAATTGGTTTACCTTGATTGGGTGAGCTGACTCTCGGTTCATATCAAAAGATTTCTCATAAGATCCCTTGCAATTCAAAATCAAATTGGTTCATCCCTGTATATGAAAATGACTAACTGTGTTATTTTATTGAAAGCATCAATTTCACATTGTCCAATGTACAGAGTAACCCTTCCAACAGTTTTCTCCCTTTTGTTGGCTCTCAATTTCAAAAAGGTTAGAGACCCAAGAGAAAGAGAAAAGTTTAGTGGGTCACCAATAACTTTAGGTTCATCATCAGGGTACCATAAATATCAACAGTATATTTCATGAAAATCTGGCCAGTCATTAAGCTCTGGTGGTGCAACATCTCCATCTTTAGTCCCGTTAGCTAGCTGGACAAAAATCCCTTATAACTGGAGTTAAAATGGAAACTTTGGGCAGTGATAGATATATAATAAAACCAGATATGGCAGAGTGGCTGCTTCCAATTTTGCCCAGCGGCCGGTATTATAGCAACAAATTTCCCTACGGCCTAAAAAGCCTCACTAGACCACCATTATAAAAGAGAAAACTGTTGACATGACACCTCAAACTACCAACAAGGTTAACACTCCTCAAGCTGAGAAATGCGATTTAAAAATCAGTGACATCAACACAATGTAAACTCTATGGGCCAAACAGGATCTCACAGGCAAAGAGAGAAACACTACTGCACATATTCATTGGGCCACATAACCAGGGAGTAAACCCGAAAAGTAAAAAAGTTTTTGGGTGTATGTATCACTGGATTGAACAGGCACCATCCTGGCGTTTGGTATATATCTATGGCTGTGATGCAGCAGAAATTGCAGATTAGATTCCCACTGAGCTGGCAGATGTGATTTGTTTATTAAGCAATTAAAATTAAGTCATGGAAGACTTTTAATATCGTTGCCACATGTCTTTTTTTCTCCCAAATCTGCCACGCCACAATGACAAATTAATTTGTATATGTTTATCCCTGCAGATTAGTCAGATTAGGGACTGTGATGGAGAAAATAAAATGATGAAAAACATTCAATGATTGCTCATGACATGCTTATGGTATTTCACAGTATTTACTTCATGAGTTATTTCTACCATTACTCCTAACTTCAAAGGTTCTCTGTCCATGTCTGGTCCTCGGTGCACACCCCTTACCGGCACCCATCAGATTTAAATTCACGGGTGAAACAAGCTGAGTTTTCTGCTCCTCTGCTCAGGGCTCACACAGCGCAGACAGGACATGTTGTTTACAGTAACGCATTGACCTGGATCAAACCGGGTTCAACCATAATCTGCTGCGCACACCAATATTTGTCAGTTTTACTAAATGAGATTAAGTGAAGCAGAAACTACCGTCCTGCACACACACACACACACACACACACACACACACACACACACACACACACACACACAGGTAGTAGTCATATTCAACATTTACTGTCAGCAGCAGCTGGTGTGTTTCTCCAGTCATGACGCAAAATGAAGTAAGTCATCAAAATGTAATAAATTACTGGTCGAATTAGTTGGTTGAGTAGATGACACACTGCTGACCCACTACTGTATGTTCTAAATCATGATTTCCTCAGAAATACTTCATCCATCTGCATCTATTCACTTCGCCTCAAGCTCAGCTCCCTCTTCAGCTCAAGGATCTAGTACAGCTTCTGCATCACTACTGATGAACTGAATCAATCCACCCATTCGTCTCACACTCCATCTTATGCTCACTCATTAACAAGGCATTGTTCTTTGTGGTTTGAAACTTGAATGTAAGGACTCTCATTCTAGCTGCAAACCACCCAAATGTGCACAAGAGGACTTCACAGAACTCTATCATTGGCAAAAAATGGTGTGTAATGGTATTCTGATAGGTGGCTACACTCATAATTCAGAAAAATGCCCTCTAGAAGTCAATTTACTTTTGATACTACATTTTGCTGACTCTGTCAATGCACAACTTGGAGTCTTTTTAAATTGCTGTATTGCTACTTTCAAGGATCTGAATACTTCCTCCACCTCTTATTAACATTTCCCCCCACTGTGCCACGGCTGCCTGTCATTTAAAGTTGTGTCAGTAACACTGTTTCATGTTCTTGACAAGTTCTTACAGTCATTCCTGGGTGACTCGATCCAAAAGAACAACAAGATGGTTAAACTGCGAGAGCAAAGAGCTGGTCCGCTGTTCCACTAGACTCACAACACTTCGCTCAATAAAGACTGAAGACAATCACCCACCTTTTGTCACTAAAACTAGGTGGAAACAAAAACCCTTCAAAGTTTGCTGATGTTAAATATTAATTTCTTCTTCATCTTTGGAGAACATTACAGGAAGAGATTCGTTGAGAGACGGATTACCCAAAGTAGTATGTGGGAGTCAATCGTTTTTGCAACATTATAGACAATTAAACAGAATCAAATATTTGAAACATCCATTTTCAATGTTTTAAAAAGCTCTCTTTGTGATTTGCTATATATCTATCACTGTGGAGGAGTGGAGGAAGAGCATCGTTTCAGGTAAGGCATGTCCTTGAAGTAAGAAGTGTACATTTGTAAGCGGCTGTTCTCGCTGCCATTCAAGCAACAACCTTGCATTTAGAAATACCCGGACAATTGGTAGGCGGGGTGATCGTCTGGTATTTCAAGACTACTGTTGTGAGACATCCACAGTGCTTCGACAATCAGCTGACAAATGTCCGGTAACAATACACTATTCACGTTCATATCAGGCCAGTCGTTCCTCTCAAGGTTTCTCTATTATGGCCCACCTGAATGTCGGCGTCACCTGACATATTACTGTCAAACACACTGAACTAATGCACCCAATCAGAGTGGGCCCATGTAGTGCGAATTACGAGATCATGAGTCAAAACTATGAGACATGGGGAGGGAGGACATCTTTCAGTGTTATTTTCTCTTAATGAATGCAAGGTGGTGACACAATTCAATACCAAAATGCAATAATAATAGTGCAATTCAATGTTAAATGTGTTTTGCAGAGGTTTACCTACCTGAACAGCTCCTGTGTTACTGCTTCCACAGCGGCTTCGGACAGAGACAGAACAAAACAACTGATGTTACAACATCACACCTGCTGTGAACTTCCAGTATGTGATACATTTGGCTATTTACTGATGCTTCTAACTTCAAGGTGAGCATTTCATTAAAGATGTATTACGCTTACATGAGTAAAAATCGCTGTCATATTATCTAGGGTGACTAGCTAGCCAGCATACTGTAGCCAGGTTGCCTTTAATAGTGTATTTCTTCAAGAGTAGACAAACAACAGACAGACAAACATACCTCTAACTCCTTTGGACCGTGTGCGATGGCGTTTTCTAACCACATTCACCTCCATCTGAAGAGGAAAACACAAGTCAACACTATTAAACTGTAAAGGCAAAAAGAAACTATGTTGTGTTATTTGCTCATTTCAAATGTGTTTCCTAAAGCAACCACCTAGAAAATCCCTTGCAACTGCCCTTGGAAACGCAACATCTATCACCCTGACTCAATAATCTGCTAGCAGCACCTTAGCAACTAGCTACCTTGAAAACCATATTTAGCACTTAATAACACCTGAGCCACTTAGCAACCAACTAGAAAGCACTTGGCAACCACTTTAAAAAAAACTTAGCAACAAACTGCTGAAGGTAGGGCAGTAGCAGCTACCTCTAATCAGCAATCACTGCTAACACCCAAACAAAGACTTTGCAATCCATCAGCTCCTGCAAAAGGAAAGACTTATAGACCTGAACTGTTTAGAATCCATCTGCTAGAAACGTTATAATTGGCAACGTCTCAAATAGTAGCAACACATTAGCTACCACTCAAATGGTGGCTACCACCAACAAGTCTGGGTTGCACCAGTTTTTAAATCTATAACTAGATTTTTTGAAGACATAAGTAATGTATAAATTGGTTACAAGAAAACATCTGTAGTGCTGTCCAAAACTATTATAGACAGGAAGTCACTGTAGCATCACTATCTGTATAACAAAAATAACTCCATTATGGGATCAAACAATATATTACATTTAATTGCCAATACTTGTTTTATTTGGACAGAAGAAGGAAGTTTGTTTCAAAATTATTTCATGCAGTTTATTAGATATCCCAGTTTCCATCATTATTAAACAGCATTGTATCACGTGTCAGGTCATACAAGTCGACCATCTATATATTTCTTTTACTCTTCACTGTACAAGGGTCGTCTATCTTTGTCAGTTCCGTTAGCTACACAGTTACACAGTTTTTTACTCTCCCTTCTGTTGTTGGTGTTGCTTTTGTCTTAATATCTCTGCTAGTTCATTAAATTTCTCTTATTTTTCAACAATGAACATAAATTATGCAAAACAAAAAGTGTGACTTACTTATTCTGATATAAACACCAGCTGGTTGTGACAGTGTATCTACCTGGTCAGAGCTCGGTGTAGCACTGGTCATGTAGCTGAAGAGTCTTTATACCAAACAGAATTCAGAAGCCGTCTTCCAAAGTCATGATCTGCAAAAACAAAACACAGTAACTTCTCAGTTCTGCAGGATATCAGATTCCCAGAATCAAACCTGTATGCAGTTGTTTCTTTCTGCTTAAGTGTCCTTGAGCAAGACACTGAACGGTGGCCTTCTCACTTTAGTTGAGAAGCTTCTGAACTGATAATTGTCTTTCTGAAATGTATAATTATAAAAAAACAATTTTTATTGATAGTGACAGCTGAACAGTGACAGGAAATGGGGATAAAGAGAGGAGATTCCATACAGCAAAGGGCCACAGGTCAGATTCGATTTGGTACATGGGGCACCAGCTGTACCAGGTGAGCTAGCCGGGCGCCCCTAATTATATTTTGTCGACATTTTGACACCTGAGAGAGTCCTGCCAAATGCCATCTATGAATTTTTACTGATATTTTCAAATGTGAAATTTAATTCATTCAGTCAATTAAGTGTTTCTCTGGAAAGGTTGAGTCACTGCTAAAAACATTTCAGCAACCTACAGAATAACATTTCATTCATTCAGTCAATTAGGTTTTTGTCTGCAGCGGTTTTACAGATTTACTACCGAAAACATTTCAGTGACCTACAGCTAAGCCAGCAAATGACCCGTAACAAGGCCAAAAACATGGATAAAATAAGTTCTCTAAAGCATTCATCTTAGTCCTGAAAGGATGAGCTGCTTCGGAGACAAGACATCTTACTTCACCAGCTGTGAACTGAAGACTTGAAACTAGAGATATTAACATACCATTTTTTCTTTCCTGATAACGATTCCGACACCTAAACTTTGTGTATCAGCCGATACCGAGTATGGATCCAATACATGTGCGTTACAAAATAGATACTATATGTATACATATATATAATTATTTTCATGACTTCGCTATCCTGGGAGAAAAAAATGGCGAAAGGAATACTACTGGGAAGTAGCAGGGTCCCCTTTCAGAACTGATAATCTACTTGGTATCAGATCGGTGCACAGGTACACATACTCGCCAATACCCAATACCACATTTTAGGCAGTAGTGGTGGAATTTCTGATATTGGTATCGGTACTGGACAACTTAATTTGAAACTTAAGAATGTAGAATAACTGTGCTTTCATTTCTGAGAAGAGCAGATGGTAAAAGTGGATCACAATCATCAGTAATTTCATTTTGAATATTTTCACACCAGGCAGAAACCAACAACAGTCAGAGGACAATAATTCATCTGAAATTCTCAGCCTGAAATGGAAGTTTCCATGTGAACAACAATAAAACAGTGTTGTGAAGTGGAGGGATTGACTTTGGGCATCCAGGTTTCTGAAAGAAAAATGATTTCGCTCATAAACAATGTTAGGTGACTGGCAGCGAACTCTCTGTGTGACTCCTACAATCTCTAAACAACTGAATTTCTAAGAATTTAGAAATTAAGTTGTTTGTCTTCAAAGCACCCATATGACCACTGCACAATACAAATGGCATCCAAAAGAAAAATAACTGCAATTTTTTTTATTTTCTTTTATCAAAATTTTAAATAACACAATAATCTCCCTTTGGGCTACAATTATTACAGCAGAACATGAGATCTTGCTGGGAGATTTTAAATGCAAACAGCAACACAAAAGAGAATAAGACAACACTGATGATGAAGACATGAACACAGCAGCTCTGCGTGCTTCTCTCTCCTCAGCTGCAGTGCAGCTCGGGGGGGTTTGCAGCGTTAATATAAATGTAAATTCTGGACAGCCTCGCCTGAACTCTCAGCCTACTCCCATTATGGTGCCACAGCAAACCGAGGCCGGGTGCATCTGAGGCCGCCACTCCACTGAGCGTGCTCCAACGCACCCTACATCAAACACAGTATTTCCTCCCTCTGCCGCGAAGAGCTCTGCCGGAAAAAAAATCCTCCACCTCCCTGGAAACTGTACGACTGAGTGGGCTAATGGGTGTGTGTGTGTGTGTGTCCATGCATGTTCTTGTGTGCAGATGATGTACTAACCTCACCAGAGTGAATGTGTGCCTTCATGAATGTGTGTTTCCATAGGCTGTGTCCTTGTTCTGCCTCTGCATGTTAGCCTGTGTGTTCTTGTACTTCTATCTTTGAGAGGACCATTTTCAGTTTTAGACCTCGAGCGGGAGGACATGTTCGATTGTCGGGACATTTATGGAAAGTGAGGACTTTTTGAATTGTGTAGACATTTTTCAAGTCATGACACTTTTTTTGAAAATTATGGTATTTTTGTGGAGTGAGGACATTTTAGAAAGTCGGGGCATTTTTTGGAAAGTCAGGATTTTTTTGGGAAAAATAAGGACCTCTTTTGGAAGGACAGGAACTTTTTTATAGGACAAGCAAGATTATTTGGAAAAGGGACATTTTTGAAAGTCGGGATATTTTTGGAAAGTTGTGATATTTTAGGAATGCAAGGACATTTTTTGGAATAATGGGGACAAATTAAAACCTTTTTTGGGAAGGCCACAAGTATGACCATTTCTGGAAAGTAATGAAATTGTGTAAGAAATAAGTGAAATGATTTGAAAGTGACAACCTTGTTGGAATCAGGGCTAGGGAACAAAATATTTCAGTGGTGGTCCTCACAAGGATAAATAAATGTAAACTACATTTGTGTGGGTGTACACATCTATGTATGATATTGTACAATGTTTACTATGTGTAATAGTAATGAACAGTAATGTAATACTTTTTTTCAGATGTATTTTAGTGTTATGGAAGTGTTACCTGAATTATTGAAGCAAAAAAAAAAAACATGCTTGGGAAGTCAGTCAGAGTGTGTGTGTTTGTGTGTGTGTGTGTGTGTGTTTGTGTGTGTGTGTGTGTGTCACAGTGTCCTATATGGCTGGATTGGCGCTGCGTGAAGAGGAGCTTCCTGCTGTTTAGTATTCAGTCCGACACTCTGCCTGTCTGGTACAATATGATGCAGAGCGCTATACTGCTATACTCAGAGACACACACACAAACACACACATCGATATACACACAGACACACACATACATACTTGCACTAATACATACCGTCACATTCACAGACACACACACGTAGTCATGTAGGTTCACCTACTTTGCCATAGAAACACTCTTTTTCTCTCTGAACACAGTCTGATACATTGACACTCCCACAGATACCTGGTGGCTGCAGCGATCCCTCTAGGTCAAAGCCAACATCACAACTCGCATTTATGACACAATTTAATTTTTCTGATTGCTCTAAATCTGCGTTTCTCAAACTTTTTACACCACGTACCACCTCAAAAAATATTAGTCTCTTCAGGTACCACCATTATGACCAACATTAAAACCCATTAGCGGACAGTTCACGCAGGAGGCAGGTTTATTCCTCGTAAGACGATTATTTATCCTTGACTGTTGTCAGCCACAGCCACGATGTACCAAGGGGTAGCACTAGCACTGGCACACAACCTCTTCCACACGTCTCTCATACACCACAAGGTGGAACTAATCATGGATGTATGCGTGCGCTATGTGCGTGAGTGTCACAGGTATGAATTTCACAGGACATACAACACTTATTTTTAAATTACATTTCAGCCGTCTGATTGATTGTCAGTCAAAATTTTGTTGTATTTTGATAGTATCTGTTTTGTTAATTAATTTAATTTTAAAAGCACTTCCGCGTACCACTAGAGGGAGCTTGGGTACCGCCAGTAGTACACGTACCATAGTTTGAAAACCAGTGCTGTAACTGATCATTTAATAACACCATATTGTTCTTGGGAGACTAGTAAGTGAGCCATGGTGTACAACTAGGCGTAAAGTAAATAATTTTCCTCAACTCAATTACTTTCCATACCAATAAATCCCAGGGAGTATTATAATGTGTAGTCACTCACCAAAGGAACAAAGACAGACTGTGTTTAAACACTCCTGTGTGTTTTAGAGTTTGTTTGTCATCAGTTTAGCCCATGGTTAGGTCACCACTCAATAAACCGTTAACGAAGCCTATAGCATCAGTGCTGTTGCTATGGTTACCTGCAGTTTAATATAACTTCAGTACTGATTGAGAACAGTGGTTTAATTGCTTATGAGCAGAACTACTGTATATCTATAGGTGCCTGAAAAATATTTTCGTTTCGTTTTGAGTTTTGGGATGAAGTAAAATAAAAAAAAGATTTGTGCATCTTGTTTTCTATTATCTGTTGGAGCAGCTCATTAAGTTGGTTTAGGTGATTTGTAGGAGAATAGACATTGAGGCGTCTATTAAAACTGGGCTAAATAATGTTTACATTTTATATAACAGTACATCAGTATGTAGCAGCAGTAGCTCCTGGACACCTTTCTTGGCAAAAGTGAGACTCCATCGCAGTAACAACAGCTTTTTAACTTCTACCTACAACCCGCAGTAGTCCTTAAAGTAATTCCAAGCCAATTAAGAAAAACGAATTGTATCGAAATTTTACTTCACATTTGAGGATCAGAAAATGACACAATAACCTGAGGACTCAATTACATACAACTCCCTAAAAATGTTCCAGTTTCCGGCCTGGAGAGTCTGCAACACACATACAAACACTCTCAGGCAAATGTTTGTGAGCCCAAACAAAGCACACACACACACACAAACACAGACACACACGCAGCAGGCAGGTGAGGTGTGTGTTTTTGGCGGAGCTCGACAGCAGCTCTGTGTTTTATTACAGCAGAGCACTTTTATCAAACCCAACAAACAGAAACACCTGGTGTGTGATGTGACGCTGCAGTGCACAAACCAAACAACACAACTGAACAGAGAGACAGGCAGAGAGAGCAGCGCTGCTTCAGGTCTGTCTCTACCTCTGTCTGTCTGTACATCAAGGGAGAGCTACTCATATTCTGGACACGAACGGCTTACATGAGTGACGCATGCTGAGGGTCAGTTGTAGCCCCAGAGGATAAAGCCTACTGACATTGGTCATCCCCTGACTTTTCATTTAGCGCCACATTTGGAGCCAGAACGGTGTCTTTAAGATTTGGCATCCCAAAAAAAAATTGGCATTGAAAACAAAACCAGTACTGAAAAAGGAAACATTGGCATTGAAACATTTGTACTAAAAACAGTTGTATTGGCATTGAAACAAATATTGGCACTGAAAAAAGAAACTAATTAAAATAATGAAAATCTTAAAATCTTGTTATTTTATTTTAATGGGAGTTTTTTTGTATTTTTCAATGACAACCTTCAGATTTTTTCTTCATGTCCCTTTTTTTCAGTGACAGCTTTTTTACAATGTCACTTTTTTTTCAGTGTCACTGATTTTCAGTTTCGGCTTTCTGTCACTGTTTTGGTGTCGAGAGGGAGGGGTCTGAGGGGAGGGGCAAATAGAGCGTGGTTTGCATATAATTTGCATATCGGCATACTCAGTGGCGGACTGACCAAAGGCTCGGTTCGGGTCACGCTTGATTTTGAAATAAACAATCCGTCGTGCGGCTCATTAGGGTATCTGCCTCGCTGAAGCTCACACAGACTGTGCAGCAACGTTGGGCACAAACACACCCCCTCCTCACTTTTTCTGAAGCTCTCTGTCACAGCACTGCAGGCAGACACACACCAAGTTGCGTGTAAATAACATAGACACAACATAATACATTATATGAATATTGAAATCCTTGCATTATATTATTTCATTTAACCTTTATTTAACCCGGTAAAATCCCATTGAGATTAAGAACGTATTTATTGTTATATGAACATAGCCAATGCATATAAAAATGGTCAATTAATGAACAGAAACATTTATTTTGTAGGGGAAAGAAACAGGAAAAGCTGTGTGTTGGCGCATGTGGAGCCTTTGCTTTATTATTTTACACTCTTCAGTAGGCGCCCAACCTAACTCACTCTTGGTGTTTTGCGTTAATCGGGTGGTGGTGGCCTGGGATGGAATCAAATTCCCGGCCTGAATTATTGTCCCAGTCCGCCCCACAGAAGAAGTACGTCTATTTTCCGGAACCCGCCGTCCGCTCTGAAGCCTCTGGTATGGTGGCATTGCTAAAATGTCCTGTTCACCGGGAACTTCCAAACCACAAGTAAGTCTGTTCATCATTCAGAGCGGACGGCAGGTTCCGGAAAAGAGACGTACTTCTTCAGTCTGCCGATATGCTAATTATATGCAAACCACGCACTGCTTGCCCCTCCCCCCACCCCCCCCCTCCCCCCCCCAAAAAATTAACTGAAAAGATTCTCATTGAAAAAAAAACTGACATTGAAAAAAAACTGTCACTCAAAAAAGTGACATGAAAAAAAATCTGAAGATTCTCATTGAAGATTAAAAAAAACTCCCCAAAATAAAATAATAAGATTTTCAGATTTTTATTATTTTCCAATACAACTGTTTTCAATACAAATGTTTCAATGCCAATGTTTCCTTTTTCAGTACTGGTTTTGTTTTCAATGCCAATTTTTAATTTTTAAAGTCGCCGTTCTGGCTCCATACACCTGCAGGTCATAATTTCTCACTTAACCACTGAAATATCTCAACATCTGGCACCAAGATTGGCACAGACAACACAACTTCGACTGAATTTGATTTGTCCAATATTTTGGTTTAAGTAAATTTCTGTTTTGTGCTATTTAGCAAATGTTATCTTGCTAACACACTTAACTATGATGGTGAACATAGTAAACCTTTTACCTGCTGAACATCAGCATGTTAGCATTGTCATGGTGATTGTTTTCTATCTATTTTGAGTAAATGTAGCAAATTCATTTTTTCTTGGTACACTATAATCTAGCAGCTATAATAGAATTTATATCCTCACAGTATTGGCCATCTATTGAAATGCTTAAAACAACCTATGTTGATACAGGTATTAACCCTACAAAGAGTTCCTGTCACCACTTTAAATCAGGCAGAAGTGGCATAACTTTATTAGTGCCATAAAACTGTTCATGTCAACAGTCAGCATTGGTTTCTTTTAACCACGTTTTCCAAATCTAATAACCCAAGTAGTTTTTGTGGTGCCAAAACCAAACACTTACCATAGCAGTAGGAGAATAGTTAATAGGTCAGTTGTAACAGTTTTGGAAGAAACTGACAAACGATGTCCCGTCAGATCGGAAAAGGCTCATATGGTTCTAAAAGTTAAACAACTTAGGTCAAATGTTGCTTGAGACTTCAAAGGTTTACACAACTTTAAGACATGTTGGACACGAGTATTTGACTGAAAAGCAGCTTTATGTGCCCCAAGAGGTCGACCATCTCAGCCTGACAGGAGCTGCTGCCTGAGAGGCTTAACTTAAAACCCAGCTGAGGTCATAATAACATAGTATGTTGCCTTCATGGATAGAAATCAACAAAGATAAAGTGTGTTTTCTTACTTTGCTGTTCTTCAGTACTGTTTTATAGTGATTGTACTTTACTTAAGTCATACCATCTCACTTTACACTTCTACTCCACTACATTTCAGAAACAAGTCCTTTTTACTGTTGTTGTTACAGCTACATTAAATACTTATACTTTGCAGATTAAGATTTTACATACAGAATTCATTTTATAAAATGCCTTATTATGGATTAAACAACCCAATATATATACATATAAAGTAGTTTAAATTAGCTCAACTTACTACATTAAAATGCTACTTAAATGTGAATGCTTTAATCATATTATTATTATTTATCTAAACACACTGTGAAAGTAGTGTGTTTAATGAACACTTACGTACATTTAATAATACTTCTGTACTTTTACATGAAGACTTCCCTACTATGAATATAATTACTGTATTTTAGCATGTTAGCTACAGCAGCTGCTAAAAAAAGACCTTTAATGCCTTTCACTGTGATGTATAAACTGCTCTGCAGTACAGTTAGTATAGTTGGTGGTGTAAACACACACACACACACACACACACAAAAAGCTGCAGTGGCTAAGCCTGGTGTGAAGGCCCCGACTCCCTCCTGTACATCAGCCCCACTCCTGGTTTCCATGGAGACTGGACTGATCGGGTGATTAGCCGCGTCAATTAACCTCTGACCAATCACAGAGAGAGCCTGAGCAGCAGCAGCTGACTGTGATCTGCAGATACGATCACAGCTGAATTCAGACATGTGAACACTGCATGCTAACTAACAATTAAAGCATATGGGGATTCTACATTAGCATAATAAATTACATTCCTGCACTTGTTTTTCCTTTTTTTCTTTTCTAGTTTTTTATAACCAACTCCACAGAGTGATTTTTTTAATTTGCTGGTTATTAAAGCACAATGGACAAAAGTGTATCCAGAAAGATCCAGTGAAGTTAATGGAAATGTAACCAGATCTGTTTATCATATCATATAAAAATATATACATTTCCATAAACTTCATTGGATCTTTCTGGATACATTTTTGTCCATAGTATGTGTCCTTATACAAACGTATGACCCCCTTGTATTATACCGTATTATTGTTCATTTATTCCAGTGATGATTCATGTATGCATTATCTCTTTAACCTGACTGGGAACTGGGGAAAAAATAATCAAGACTTAGTTTTTGTATTTGTTTGTGGCCTTCATAAATGGAAAATTACTTTGTGTTTTCCAGATTTTATTTTGACGCGGGTACTCCAGTTAATACCAAAATCAGAAAATAACTCCTATTTCCTTTTTGCAGTATGCAGTATATTTAGTGTCTTTCAGAGATTTCCTCGTCTTCATTTTCCATAAATGGACTGATACATGTGCTCACTCCACACATGAACTTGCCTGATTCCCCTGCAGGGTTTACTGACCATAATGAACCCTGTACACTTCATGTTCACTCTCTAAACCCTGTAAATGTGGGAATGTGAAGGGGCCACGCTGCAGATTTTCACGCCTGGACACAAACGCACTGCCGGCCTGTTCCCCCCAGCTCGATGACCAGGTCTGCGGTGTCATGTCAGCACTTCAGAAGAGATAAAGTCTTCTTTAGCCCTCGGAGCATTTTCTGTCAGACAATATTCACCTCATAGCGGGAACTCATCTACTATGAGTATCTGCACACAGTCACAATATTAACATCTGCAGGCTACTGTATCTGTTTTACATTGAATTTGACTTTTCATGAAGACCAAACCCAGCTGTTGCTGTTGTCAGATAACTGCAGTGCTGTATAAAAAGTCACCTGGTTCATCAGGTTCATGCGAGGAGGAGGCCTGCAGAAAACATCTACTGTAGTTAGCAACACAAAATAAAAGATAACTGTAACATTTTCCTGTACCTTAAGCTACAATTATGTACCCCTTTCTGTCAGCCATGATTTTATAACTTTAAAATTAAACAAAGGTCCACAGTTATCACTTTAAGGACCTTTTTCGTACCTTACGGGGAACTTTTCTGACAAATCTTTGGGTACAGAAATGATACCCCTGTTTCTCTGTGTGTATCTACAGCCAGTGTGTGGTTTGTCTGTTCTGGGCTACTGTAGAAATATGGCAGATTTCATGAAAGGCAACCTGCGGCATCTATAGATAAAAACGGTTCATTATAAGGTAACAAAAACACAATTATTCTTAAATTCTGGTGATTATACACACATATGAATATTTATTCCATTTCTACTAATAGATCCTCCTAAATGTTAAAGACTTTAAGTCGGCTCACTACACTGCAGTGAAGACAAAGTAAAATCTTAAATTATTGGTTCCTTTCAAATTAAAGTGTGATGATGCTATTAATTGGTGTATTTAACCAGCAGTTTACATGCCTCGTCTCAATAAAACTGACACTTTCCACAGTGTGGATGTGACTCCGCCCTCCTCCATCATTCACCTCTGTCAGTGCCGAGCAGCGGGGCGGGGCTCTGTGATTGACGGATCGAGGGCTGGATGTGGTCAGTGAGTGAAGCTTTAATGATCTGTAACAAGCAGACGAGGCAGGTCGTCAGTGGCAACAGAGATCCACGATCGTTACTCCTGCTTGAATTGTGTGTGTGTCTGTGTGTGTGAACAGAAAACATTCAGCCGAATCCGAGGTGATTCTGCGGATAATTTGTCCCTTTTCATGACCAAAAACCTGGACAAAAGACAATATTTGACTCAAGGTTTTCTTTTTTACCCACACAGACTCTCACATCGACAAAAGAAACCCCTTCAGTTGAGAGATAAAAGATGTTTCAGGTAACCGACTACAGGGGTGTTCAAAGGTCAGAGGTCACAGCAGGTGAAGCGAAATAAAAACATTTTGAATAAATCAGAGCCTTAAATTGGATTCCACAGCTGTCGGTCTGCCATTCACATGAATGATTTTACACAAGCGCACGCACACTTCATGAAGAACAGGATCTACCCACGATGAATCATTAAAAATGTGTGTGTGTGTGTGTGTGTGTAAATGTGTCGTACAGAGAGTGTGTATGTGTGGTTTTTTACACAGTGAGTCATTCGGAGCTCCAGAATAGAAAGTGCATGATGCCTTCCACTCTGTGTGTGTGTGTGTGTGTGTGTGTGTGTGTGTGTGTGTGTGTGCGTGTGTATGTGTGTGTGTGTGCGTATGTGCGTGTATGCTGACCTCCACTGATCAGAATGAGTTAATCAGATTGATGGGTGTCTTGGCAGCAGCTCAGATTTAATAAACCACAGACAGACAGACGGATAGACAGACAGGTAGTTCAGATGAGGTCTCAGTGGTTCGACTCGACAGTAACCAGCTGAACCTCCATCATGGAGGAACAGTCTGTTAAAGCCTGTTCAGACAAATGTGATGCTGATTTTCTGTGTCAGTCTGGAGTTCGGGTTGGACTTAGTAACATTTCTGTAATGCCGGGCAGACACTGGCAGCCCTGAATTGGTCGCTCCGGACTAATTTTAGAATCTCTGGCCGAATTTCTGCCAGATCGGTTGTCATTTGAGGTGCAGTTTGAGGTCACGGTGCCTGATTAATTGCCTGAACGATGAACGGTCTGGCTCACAGACGATCAAATGGATCTCTGAAATGTTAGAAATTTCGGTGGGGTTGTCTGCAGTTTGAGCAGTTCCAACACGCTTGCTGTCAAAAGATCTGTTGTAAACTGCAGTTTTAATATAGTTGCATTTTACGTATTGACTGTGATATAAAAACTGAACTTCGCTGCAGAACAGACATCATATTGTCTGCATCTTCCAGCCGTAGCTTCGCGTTTTTTTTTCCTTCTTACTTTCCATTCATAGTAGAATTGCACAAAGTAACACCGCCTTTCTCTCTTTTTGTCAACATTGAGGATACTGTAGTCTTGGTTTTTTTTAGGCTTTTGATGCCTTTATTTGGCTCGAGACAGCTGAAGACAGACAGGAAACTGGTGAGAAAGAGAGAGCGAGGGGACGACATGCAGCACATGTCTGGGGCTGACACTCTGAGTGCACTTTGAATAAACTTCAACTGGATTTGCCAATAGAGAAAAACCGACCAGGAGTTTCATGGCTACTCAATCGATCCGTTCTTTGTACGCAGGTTCGGGCCGAGCAGAAAGACCAATTCTAACATTTAGTGTGAATTACATCATTAATAAAAAACGTATTTCGTCTGCCCAGCTTTATACTTAAGCACTGCACAAGTCTGAATTGAATGACCTCAGATTCATGTAAATGCTACAGGTTTAAATAAACAGAGACAGCTATTTCATGTGCAATTTCTTCTGCTTTCTAACAGCGGTTTAAGGGTTATTGAGAGTAAGACAGGTCAAGGGACACTATGCATGCAAAAGTTTTTGCTAACTAGTGGCTATTTGCAAGACTAGTGGAGCTAGATAAACAGGGATGGTGACTGGACTACTGCGGCATTCAGATGAAGCTGCCTGTTGAGCCAGCTGAGCAGCCACCGTAGTTTAGTCTGAGCAGACACACTGTAGATATGATTGAGCTGCTGAGTGTCTGCTCTTTGCTTAAGAGAGGGTAGAATGTAAAAGGCAGTTTAAAAGCAACATTAGTTCAAGGTTAGAGAATGCTGTATTTGTTGTCATAACCACACACAAAATCAATTTGCAAAGTGCAGACTGCAGATGGTGTCTCAAATAGTTTTGCTTTCAGGTTAATTTGTGTCAAATTAATAAAGAGGAAACTATCTCATGTTGCAGATACCAGCATGTATATTGCAAATTTGGTAAAAAGGTAAAGCTGCATTCAGTGTTATTGCTCTAACCACTGATCTTGGTAGTTAAGTTGGTGAGTAAAACGTTATTAGATAGGAATGACAAAGCTAATTTCACAAAACTACAGAAATACGGTGACACCCAGGTTGCTAAAAAGCTCGATCGTCATTCACTGATGTTCACACAACAGTTTATCACAGAGAGCTGCACCAGGTCTGGTACTGGTCTGTGACTGAGCTGTGATGTGAATAGACCAACAGGTGTGACCAGCAGTCTGGTGTGACTGGTCAACTGTAAGCTGAGCCTGTGTTTAATATGCTCTGTCACACACACAGGTGGTGTGAGGCTGCAGAGAGAAGGAAGGTTTATTTTGTTCTGCAGTTATGAATGATCACCAGCTCTGTCTCTGCAGAGAGCAGACAGGAAATAAAGGAGGTATTTTTCTTTCATTACTTTTTCAGCTGAGTTCACCTGGTTTCAGTGTGTACACAGCAAAACAGCCACCTACTGGCGCCACATAGAGCCACAGACCTGGTCTAACTGAACCAGGTTAGTGTTTTGTCTTGTTTCCAATCATTCTCCATCTCACCGGAGGAGACGATCGATTGTGAAACCAACTAAGAGCAGGGCAATGGTCGGAGGTCAGTCAGCCAATATTTGTGTGACGCCAGAATCATGAAGATGATGATGAGGTAGGCAGAAAATTGTCTAACTCAGGGGTTCCCAAACTTTTTCATGTAAAGGACCTTCCAGGATAGATGCACATTAATTTGAGAGGATATTGCCTTAAGGAATCCCCTCTGAATAATGTTGTTTTATTTTTAGGTTTCAAGATTATAAAGTCTTCATAGTCAATCAATGATTTATCTTTTTTCTTCCCATGTTGTTCCAACTTCCAAAAAATGTGATAAGTTAAAATATTCCATTCCTCCTTTTGCTGGGGACCCCCTGCAACTCACTCAAGGACCCTTGCTGATCCCAGGACTCCAGTCTGAAGACCAGTGGTCTGACGAAACTACTACCAAGCTAAATAACCAAATAACTGACAAGCTAACAACGGCTAACAAACTTGACTCACTGACTTATTAGCTCACTAACTAAGAAACTAACTGACAAAAAATGTTAAGTAATGTTTAAATTGTATGGAGTCATATTTTTAAGAACAACATTTTACCAAGAATGTTAAAACAGCATTAATTGGTATCTTTGCCACCAACATGTAAGATTAATAATGCAAACAGGTTAGTAACAGTTATTTATTTGCAGATCCACCTGATCAAAGTCCAATATTCACTCTCATTTAGCTCTGGTTTGATCTCCACCAACTCCTCAGACTAATATTTGTCTCTTCCAGCTAAATGTTTGACTGGAAGTTGTTCATCAGGCAGTTGAAAACGATACAGTAAACAACAACAGTAAAGTTATGGAACAAAAAGACCAAAACAATGAGCTGAAAGATGCTAAAACTTTTCATTCCCTACAAGCAATATATATATCTTAAATAATATATTGATTGAATGCAGCGTTAAGGAATAATTTCCCCCTTTTTACTTTATTTTTACTTTTATAAAATAATGTCTAAGTTACTATTACAAACTGTATATTTATTATTTTGGTAGACCATGGAAACACTCTGTGGTGGCATTAAGGCTTTAATGTACTGTGGTTTGTATTGTACCTCATTTGGATAAAAGCATTTCTTAAATTAATTAATGTAAGGTGAATGTAGTCGGTAGTGGATAGATACTTCTGACAGTGACACTTTATTATGCAAAAATAAATAAATAAATACGGAAACAACAGTCTCCAGGAAATGACATGTAGCCTGTTTAAACATCAGTAAACCATTTAATATGAAATAAAGCATCTTTTCATACAAAGGGTATCCCTTCAAGCTCTCAGCCTACAGCGAGCCATCCCTCTCTGTTACTCTCTATTTACAGATGGACATCAGAAAGTTTAAAGCAACCGGCAGTAAAGTTTCAGTCATTCATTCAAAAACACATCAGCACTTGTGAGCTTCCAGATGTTCACTCAACATTTCTCCAACTCTGAATCTAAAGGCAGCAGCTCCAGACAACCTTTTCCCACTTCACAGCTCCCAGTAACATTCAGGAGCCCTGTGAGTTTCCCACTGCAGCAATACAACTTTTTTAATTAACTAACTTAAGTTCGACACCCTGTACACTCAGATCCAACAACTCCTAACAGAGAACATACCATAATCCATAGGACCCTGTAGTGAAAGATACTTCACCCCAGTAGACATTACATTACTGCACTACTGATAATGAATGCTGGATGTACTCCAGGTTTTACGTCATGCTGTCACTCGATGTATATGGTTTAATGTAATATTGCAGGGAGGGTTTTAGCAGGGTTTCTATTTTCTGCATATTTTTATCAAGTGATTCATGTATTTTATTATTATTTTATGTATGTTGCTTTCAGCACCTGGCTGCTGCCAAAAGATAACAGAATAAAGTTTAAGTTAACAGTCGTATTAACTCCAACTGACGCAGAGTTAACTTAACATCATTTATTTATTATTGCTATATGTTACTTCAACATAAACCTATGTTAGTTTCTATTTTACTATAGAAGTCAATGGTCTCAGAAGTCAATTAAATACTTCAAGGATATTATATAACTACGGCGTTTGATATAGACACTACATGTATGTAATTTTCTTTTTGTGCAAACAGAGGGGACAAACTTAACAAAAAAGGTGCCATAAGGTCACTGCAGACTCACTAATTAGTAGCAGAGACACACTTCAGCTCACTGTGGAAGCATTATAACAACACTGACACTCTCTGACACCCTGTAGGAATACAAAATATTACACACAATGGCCCCAGCCTGGATTATCATATCCTATTAAGGTCTATCCTATAGCCACTATACATAACAATACAGGCTTCACAGCACCCTGTAGGAGCATTACAGAAATATTATGAGGATATTATAGAGCAACGGGTGCCTCAAAGTAATAACACAGAAATGATATAATGAAACATGAGCATAAACATAATGAAAAGGTGCCATAAGGTCACAACAGAGCGATCAGCACAGAAACTACAGGTCACTGTAGGAATATTACACTGCGAATATTAGACTGTAAACTGGCAACAAAGAAGCACCAGAGAAACACTGCATACTGACACAGTACAACAATAATACATATTATAGGAGTATAATAGGAGACTGTCACCAGAACTCAGCCTTGAAAACAACAGAAGCATGACTGACACACTAATTATGGCTCTATAGTGTTCCTATAACATTCCTGGTGTTATAGGAACATTATAGAGCCACTAAAGCAGACAGTGTGTCTGTAGAGGCGCACACAGACACTGTCAGAGCTCAACAATATTTAAAAGACTGACAACTAAACTGAGCTCTGAAACAACAGAAGCATGACTGACACACTGTAGGAGCATTACAGGAATATCGCAGAAGGTGACCGGAGCTGTGAAGGCGCACAAAAAAGGCGCAAACAGTGCGTCACAAGCCTCAGAGTACCAGAGGAATATTATAGAAGAAAGAAAGGAAAAACATACTGAAATGGCGAAGATGGAGACTCCTCTATCTCTGTCTCTTCTTCCTCCTCTCCTCTTCCTCTCTGGTCGGAAAGTCTGCAGCCTCCCTCTCTCTCTCTCTCTCTCTCTCTCTCTCTCTCTCTCTCTCAAACACACTCTCTCTCTCTCTTTCTCCCTCTCCGTTTCTGTCAAGGTCTCTCTACCCCTCTCTCTCCCTCTCCCTCTCTTTTGTCGCCGTGATATCTGGCCGTGCCTTCACTGGCGGAGAGCGGGATGGAGGAGGAGGAGGAGGAGGAGGGAGGGAGGAGGAGACCCAGACACACAGACAGGAGGGAGAAGAGGATGATGATGGTGGTGATGATGAAGATGGTGGAGGGAGAATCAGACACTGCAGCAGTAGAAGAGGAAGAAGACGGCGCGTTTACTTCTCTCTCTCTCGCCCTCTCTCTCTCTCTCTCTCTCTCTCTCCTTCCTCCTCTTCCTTTTCCTCTTTTCTCTTTATTTTCTCGGGGACGCGCACGCAAACACGGCGGCGCGCCCAACGGAGAGCGCGCATGCAGGCTCCCCAAGGATATCAACGCATTCCCTGCCTCTCTCTCTCTCTCTCTCTCTCTCTCTCTCTCTCTCTCTCGCTTTCTCTCTCTCTTTCGGAATTAATTCAAAGCATGTACACTGTGTGTGTGTGTGTGTGTGTGTGTGTGTGTGTGTGTGTAGCAGCCCTGCAGTCAGTCTCTGGGTGTTGTTTTGATTTTCCAGCCCGCAGACCAGATCACACACACACACACACACACACGCACGCACGCACGCACACACACACACACACACACACACACACACACACACACACACACATACACACACAGTCTCTATAGGCGTTAAAATGCATCAGTGTGTAATTTCCTTTGTTCAGCTCTGTGCAACAAACTCTAATCTAGACTGCAACTTTATTATTATTAGTTGTAGTTTCCTAGTATTAATATTGTTAAATCTAAAGTTTAACAGATTATTAATGAGCCGTTAATTAAAATAAGTTCTAGGTTGTCAGATTGTGAAAATCCCTCTGATATCCTCCCCTGGCACGACACTTGCTTTGTCTTTTTAGCTTTTTTTTCATTAAGAAAACCCCCTCAAATGGACTGTTCGACCACTTAAAGGGCTGTGCAGCATCAAATTCCATTCACCAACTCCCAGATTAAATAAACGAGTGTTTTGTGGCTTTTTTTTTTGCATACTATGCCAACGCTTTTAAAAATCCCTCTCTACAGTATGTGTGCCGCAGCTCAAAGGTGGTCACACTGCTCACGGATCGAAGAACACCAGTCGCACTAGAAGTCAGGGTCTGCTCTTTTAGTCTGTATAACAGAGCGGCATGGAGCACAGGCTGCAACACACTCTCAGTGGCAGCAGGCTCTCTCCCCCAGCACAGGCTGCTCTCCCAAGAGAAACACCAGCATCAGTCGTTTCAGACAGTGCCCCAACATGACATTTTATTACGGTCAAGTGACAAAGTCCTCTAGCTGCCACAGAAATGATGTTGTTGTAGAGCCACAAAGTCTGCAGAGGGAGGAGGTCGGGGTGGATGGATGTTTCTTTCCCAGTCAACGCTGGCAAACCATAGTGGTTATTACAGGAACCGTGAGTATAAAGGTCCCTTAACCTTAAACGTAGAATATGTCATTTATGCCACCATTGTTGTTGTCATTGCAGTTACGATTCCTTCAGTGTTCATTGTTCGGGTGGTTTCTACCGGGTGCAGAATTATCTACAGAGGCCTCCTCCTTTCCACTCCTTTCCACGACTTGACTAAAACTGATTAAAACCACTGAATAATGCAGTTTCACCTTAAGAAATCAGTGTTTCTCTGACGCTGTTTGGCAGACACCTGATGTCCCAGAGAGCCTGCCAGGCAAGCTGCTGCTAACATTAGCTCAGCTTCGGTGATAACTTGCCTGATGATGCTTCATCCAGTTAACAACAAAAATGTGGCTTAAAACTTGATAAAAAGTCAATTTATGAGAGCTTTTGGCAGACATCCACAACACTGCCGCAGGTGAAACGCACAGTTACCTGAATGAAATGACAGATTCCTCTGGTTTTGAACGTAGTTGGAAACATTTGGGATTATCATGTAAGTACACAACTCCACAAAATATATAACACATGTCTAGCGTTTATAGATATTTCGATGTGGAAATGTTACATAACTTTAATGAAGCAGTCATTTTAACACAAACAGTGATTTTTCCCTTTGATTGTTCCAACGAAACCATAACCATATAGCAGTGTCAGACCATTGTAACAGCTGTGGTTGTTCTGGTGATAGGGGATTCTACTGTGGTCCTCAACACACTGCAACCTAAGAAAACACATGCAAACACACACACACACAAGCAACAAGGACACGCATTGGTACATAGTGTACCAGCTCTACCAGGTCAGCTGCCAGGGCACTCCACCTCATTTGGAAGAGTTGTGAACATGTTGTGGATGGATGAGAGCAGACTGACATTTCAGAAAGTTATTTAGGTTTTAGTTAAGTTGTTATGCAGCATTTCTGGTGAAACTAGACCAACGATTCAGCTAAAAAAGAGATATTTGTGTTGTGTGTTAAGTCAGATGTTTAATTTACATCATGATTTATTCATAAACTCTGTTTCCATTTGCTTTTATTGATACACCAACCTTTCCACGAGCGTAAAAAAGTTATTTTTCTCCCCTCAGGTTTATCTTATGCAAAAATTGAAAAAGCAAATAAAAACAGCTAGATGGAAACAGCCCTCGTCATTATGGTTTGTTTTCTGCTCTTCACCAGTGGGTGCAATCTCATGATGACGCGTCTAAAAGCGGAGAAGTTGACAGATTTAGTCAGTGTCAAAGAGGTTGGTACTATTTCCTGGAAGCAGTACGTACAGTGCCAGTAGCCAGTAGATGTACCAAACTCTGAAAAGTTTCAGTAGGAAAGTTTGGCTAGAATCAGAGTATAGAAGTAGTCAATAAATGTTTCGAACAGAGGGAAATTACCTGATGGTTTGAATAAAGATTTTTTTCATTGACATGTTTTTTTGTTGCGGGAAAATTAATCCTCCACATTTTTGCTTCATTTCTTAATATGATTTTCCTTCCGTCTGTACATCTGTCCATCATTCCCTCCATTTTCCTTCAATTTTTAATTCCATCTTTGATCATTTACCTCCTCCATCTTTTCATTCATCCTCTCTCATTCCCCTTGATCTTTTCCTTCCATTTCTCAATTTTTACCTCTTTTCTGTCCGTATCCCTTCCCTCCATCCTTCCCTCTTCTCCCTGCTTCCCTTCTTTCATTCTCCGATCCCTTCCCTCACGTTCCCCCCACTTTTCCACTGATTACTTCCTCCTCCCCTCATCCTTCTTTTATCCCTCCATTCTCGTCACCTTTCATTCCTACATCCTTCTGTCTATATCCTTCAAATCACCCGTCTCCCTTTTCTCCATCCCTTCGTTCCAGTCCTCTCTCCTCTACCTCTCCACGATCTCTTCTTCTTTCCTCCGTCTCTCTGCTCTGACAGCAGAGTGAACTGAGGACGCAGAGACAGAGAGAGAGAGAGAGGGAGCGGTAGAGTGAGCTTGGTTTGAAAAGGCTGACCTAGTTAGACTCTCCCTTCAATAAAACATTGAGACTGAGAAAAGAAACACACAGGTCTCTCTCTCTCTCTCTCTCTCTCTCTCTCTCTCTCTCTCTCTCTCTATCTGTCTCTCTATCGTTCTATCTTCGTTTCTTTCGGAGAGTTCAGTTTTCAATTTGAGATTTAAGTCTGGAAACTTGCAAATCCATTTTCCGCTCAGTCAGTTTGAGCAATCAGCAAAGGTTGAAGATGGTACTTTGACTATAGTATATATTAAATATAGAAGTTGTAGAGATGTGTCATTTCTTGAACAGTCATCAACTCCTTTTACATTTTGTATTTATTCTATGAAAAACTAATGTTGAGAATTTCAACATCATGATGCGGTCACTGTCAGTGGTGGAGGAAATAGTCAGATCCAAGGTCCAGTGTCTAACATTTATTGTCAGAAATTGAATATAATATTCATATGTATGTTTTCATTAGTGTATAATCACCTGAAAATAAGAATAGTTGTGTTTTTGGTACCTTAGAATAAGCTGTTTTTAATTTACAGAGGGTTAGATATTGCAGCAAGCAGCGGTGACATACTGCAAGTTGAGTTGAGCTCATTGCCTGAGCTTAGTTTCAACTTGTCCATAGCGGGGAGAAAATGGTGGCTCGCCTAGTCGTACAGATAAACAGTTCACCAAAATATGTTTCTGAAAAGATTTTGGGCAAGCAATAGGCAATGCAGGAACAGAACAGTAGCCCAAAATGGACAAACCAAACACTGTTTCACAACCATCGAAGTTTCTCCTACACACTTATTGTTATTCAGTTAGTTGCAATCTGCAATCTCACCACTAGATGCCACTAAATCCTTCACACTGGTTGTTCAACTAAAAGTAGCAATAGCACAGTCTAAAAATATTCCAAGTTGCAAGTAAAATTCTTGAATTCACAATTTTACATACATAAAAGTGAGTATTATAAACAAGATGTGTTTTTAGTATCAAGGTAAAAGTCATTTTGCAGAATCTCATTTCAAAGTGTTTTAAAAAAGAATATTATATTATTTTTATTAACTGTTTTTATGACTTTTATTGTTCTAGTTTATCACTGTGGAGCATATTTCAGATAGTAATATAGAACTGCATATCATATAAGCATTTCGTATTTTTCAATGTAAAAAGTAACTAGTATTTATAACTGTAAAATAACTATAGTGAATTGAAAAGTATATATATACATATAAATATATAATATTTCCCTCTGAGATGAAATCGAGTTAGTATAGAGTAAAGTTGTAATAGATAATATATTAATGAGGTCGAGTAGAAGTAGAAAGTACTATGAAATTAAAATACTACAAAATTTCCAAAATACAAATACAAAATTGTACTGAAGTACACTACTTGAGTTTGAATACTTTATATTCTACCACTGATAGTTAATCGAGGTATTAAAACCTTTGTGTGTCGGGTTTGAACATTTTTTACTTTGGCGACCCCCAGTGGTAAAAGCAACAATGACACCAACTGGACACTGGCACGCAGCAGAAAGCCGAGCAAGGAAAAAACTAAACTCACTAAGAAAATTAAATGAATTGTGCACGGTGCTGATTAACTTATTCACAGTGTGAATAAGTTAATCTTCCTCTCAGTACAAAACAGTAGGCTAGTAAACATTGAAGCTCTCACATACCAGTTGCCAAGACAGTATACTGTGTTTATTTTTAGACCAGTCTTCATTTACATCCACTTATCTTTTCTGAGCATTTACAAACTGCATTACAGAAATCTCCATCAGAACACCAGAAAAGAAAAAAATACGTTGCTGGTTAATGAAATGGATTTTTCAAATAAACGTTGATGACGTTGATGCACCTGCTTCTAATAACAAAGCCCTCGTGTTTTGCTGCCACGTGCT